GAGGCTAAAACTGTAGTCTATCCTAGATGAAAATACCCCCTGGGAAGCAATCTATGCGAAGTTAAATTTAAACGTAATATCTGCTTATATCCTTGTAGGAAAATTCAATAAATAGTCCCCTTAGCACCTTAAACGAACCAGGGTGGATGCACCTCATACTTACAAAGTCTGACCAATAGAATTTCATAATTAGGTCAAGTCCTATTTTAGAGTCTTATGCTAACTTTCTTTATGTCTAATATCTTCATTTATTTCTTATAGGTACGTAGACTTCTTTTGGAATTTACCAAGGCCGACCAAGCCGACTCCTTCTGTCTTGAGGTTGTTTCCAAGGCAACCCTACCCTCCTCAACCAGACTTCTGAATACTCTGACTTTAGCTAGTGACGTCTTATCTGCCCCAGCCTATAGCTGGCTTGATAAATACAGGTAATTCTGTTGTCACCTTTCCACAGTCAAAATTATCTCTATTTATGTATACATGCTTTGGAAGTCATGTCTTCATGCACTTTCATACGAAATGAAGGTCCTTCTAACAATACCATGTAATAGCACTCGGGCCTTGTGGCTTGATGCCATGCGAACTTCTTTTATTTTTTCATAATTATCTAAATCTTTCTTAAATTTTAATACTTTGATCTCATTAAAGATAAAGCTCTAAACATTATATTTTCTTCAAAGATATGGAGACAAAGATGGTGTGGCCTCCAGTATGGTTGAAGTCTCCTTTCTATTTATAGAACTGGGTTGGCCTCGTCGCAACCTGATCTTGTTGTCCAGGCAACTTAGTAGAACGCACCTAGCCCGAAGTACTCTGTCATAGTAGTTATCATAATTCTCAGCATCAGACAGTGGACTTGGTACATTCTCAAACGTTTCGCCGGCATCGTAGTTGGCATCATCAGTGAGTTATGCCATTCTCCACTCCAAGCTACGAACTCGCCAAAGAGACAAGTGAAGTCAATCCCTCGACAAAGGTTCTGCCGAATACGGTTACACTATCACTCTTCTTTCTGTCTTGGCCTATCTATCTACCCTTTACCCTCTTATCCAACTTCCGACCTATCACAACTTCTTACTTGTTTACATTCCACTTATCAAAATGTGTGCTCTTTTGTGGCAAATCTAGTGTGGCTCATCACACCCGCTATTCACGTCGACCCCTCTCTTTCGATCGGCTAATCCGAATCGGGCCTCCTATCCAGATCTCCCTCATGGTTCCTTAGATCCGTTTTTTATCTTTCTGGTTACCAAATTCGCTCGGTTCCAGTCCCAGTGTGCATTTCACTCCAGGCGCTATTTCTCAAGGCCCTAGAAGCACGTACACTGCCGCCTCACCGAGCAGAGTGCTTAGGCTCTGATTCATATGCTTGCAGATCTCAGGCTTTGATTTCACAGGTCGTCTCCTTGATCAAACCCGTGTTACCTAAGCAAACTGTGGACGCCTACTTATCGTCGCATGCGGCATCTCAAGTCGATTTCTAGTACGTTTTGACCATAATGTTGAATTTATGTGACTGTTTGTTTATCCGTCCCCCTAGCTCCTTGACTGCCAGGCCCCCAAAGGTGTACTGGTTTATTCGAAACGGACATCACTCACTGACAACGTCTTCGCTTGATTGCCGAAACTCCCTGCCCCTCATTTTCCTCATCGCGATCACTTCTCCTCTGCTTAGCAATAGATCCTTTTTCCTGGTCTTGCTCTATTCTTGTTTTCCCCAAGTTTGCTTTGGCAGTAGGCAAAGTTATATCGCTAACTCTACCATCCTCTAATCTCCTGTTCATTAAATTTTTCTCTCCAAGTATGTCAGTGGCCTCCCTAATCTTCCGATTCCTCGTGTTGTCATCGTATGCGGCTCTTCTTTCTGTTGCCTTACAATTGATCTCG